CTTGAAAGATCCTCTGGTCCAACCTTTCATGGGAAACAGAGCCTAGATGAGATTTTCAGGTTGTATTGAAAGCTGAAACCCTCTTCTACCTTTTTCTGCATTTTTACCCCGTGTTTTCTCATGATACCACATCCCCATGTCAGCCTTCTGCCTGGGACATGCAACCACCCCCTTTTCTACCTTATTCCAGAGTCTGAAGGCCTACAGGACACCAAGTCTTATGCTCAACGAGTATTTATCAAGAAGCATCCTATGCATGCTTAAAGTCACGCTGCATGCCAGTTTAGAGCTGATGGCACTTTTGGAGCAAGCTAGGGAATCCATTGTTTTTAGCTACCAAAATATGTGAGAGAGAAGAGGAAAAGGGCACACAAGAGACTGAAAAATTGGTGTGTGTACTTCAGAGTGCACTTCTGAACTGTATGTTAGCTTGTAAATGACCAAAGGTGCCACTGTCACACTTTTGATGTAGCTGCCAGCTGCCTCTCAACTGGTGGAACAAGTGGAGGAAGAAATGCTAGGACGTGGCTTTCCAGGAGCGTTCCTGTGCAACAGCAGCATGGGGGCAAAGAGCCGTCTCAGCACAATGAGTGCAGTCAGAAGCCCAGTATATGTTAAAGTGACAGTGGTTGATGGAGTCTCCTTTATGGTCCATGCGTTGCTGCATTACCAGCCCAGTCCAGCCAGCCACAGGTCCACCCCACAGCAGGGACGTTTGGGAATGCCTGTTGCTCCTTTGCATCTGCTCTGTTCTCTGCTCCTTACTGAAATGGTCCCTGCTGGAGAGGAGAACTTGCTTTTCTGCCACGCTGGTGGTTATTTCAGTGACTTTTATATGTATATCTAAACTATAAAGCCTTGAATAATTTACCAGTTTCCAGGGTTAAGAGGAAGATTTATGATGTTTCCTTCTGGCAGGCGGCAGCTGATCTTGATTCTCGTGGAAAAACAATTGTACTAACGTCTCCTTTCTCTGAGCAGATCTGAGCAGCTACTGCAAGTTTACGTCTCCATGTGGTAAATAGACCTGTCTTCTTGTGTTTTACAATCTAGTGAAATCTGCCCGCTGATCTGATTGCTCTGTGGGGTAGCACAGCCTGCGAGGAGAAAAACGGGGTGTCACCCTTCAGATGGATGGCAGGAGTCGCATGCCCCCAGCAGAACCGGCCGTGCGGTAACACGGGGCAAAGATGGATTTCCATTGCTTTGCTAGAAAAGGTCCCGCTAGGCCTTAAATCAGACTGAACTGGCAACGGAGCTTAGCGAAAGCTGGAGTCTTTCCTTTTGCAAGTATTTGAGATCTGAATAAAACATAACATAGACCTGAATCTCAGTAATTTAGCGAGCCAGGCAGATTTTTTCCATGAATTAGAAGAAACCAATATAGGTCTACGTAGATAGTACCTGTGAGATGATATTCTCATAGTACTTAGCTTCAGCATCCTGGGCTGCTCTGTGCTCACGGAAGCTGGGGGCGCGGGGGAATGTCTGCGTCTCTAGTGAAGCGCTGCACTTGGCTGGCTCAGCACGGTGGGGAAGGGGGGAGGGAGGTCTGGTGGGGGTCCCCAGCGTCTCCTCTTGCATCGACTCCCCCGTGCATTGACTACGGGGCGGATGGGGGAGCTCACAGGCTCAGCTTTCCCTTTGACCCTGTGTATTCGCCTCTGAATCTTGATGCTTTTTGTTTCACACTTGTTTTTAGAAGCAACAACACACAATAGCGATGTAGTTTCGAGTAAGACCCGTCAGTAGTGTTGGGTGCAGAGCAGTTAGTGTCTCTTGCTCTGGTCTCTCTTGCTCTGGTCTCTCTTGCCCTGTTCCCACTCACGGACTGTCCCTGTGGATCAGTGACACTTGTTTAAGTTCTTCAGCTTCACATTTTCTTCCTAAATGGGCTTGGGTGGCTTTTGGCTTCATCTGGACTTTGCATTCCCAGGGCTGCATCACTGGGGTGAGTGGCGATTGCATGACATGGAGTGTGCCGTGTGAGTAGCTGGTATGTGCTGTCACCTGCAAGTTCTTGTTAGCAGGGCTTGTGTCCAGGAGTTTTTCTTTGAGGGTAGAGACTTTTTTTTAATTTAGAGAATTGATTAAAAATCAGTGGAGGGAGTCCTAGATATGAACTGTGAAGAGGAGGACTCAAGCACCCTTACAGCTTCGAACCACTGGAAATTCCAGCTTTGTATCTTTCATAAATGCAGTTTTTAGAGCTGGAGTTGCAGATATGCTCTGCATTGATCCAGACTGGCGGGAAACAACCAGAGCCTGCAGCGTTCATTCAGCCCAGCATCCTCTCCAGTGTCCTCTCCCTCCTCGCTGCCGCACACTCCTGCTCATCGCCCTGCCTCGTCACGATCCCCTGCTCGCTCCCGCTCCCACGTCACCCACCCCGCGCTTCCCTCCCTGCCTGCGGCAAGCCGGGCGCACCAGGCAGGGCGCAGACCAGCATTTGAAAAGAAACTCTGTGAATTAACGGGAACATATTGCTATTATTTCATATAATCACTTTATTTGTAAAGCACATGCTGCAAAGGTCCTCCTGCTGTTGAACTCAAAGCAACAAATCTATCTATATACCCCAGTCTATACTACATTATGAACAGATGGGTGAAGGCAAAAAAGCAATAAAAACAAGTAATAAGAAATGTAACAATGATAGCAATTTTAAAACACTCCCAGGAAAAAAAAAAACCCAACAAGTTGCTAAATTTTTTTCAAAGCACTGTGAGATTGAGTGAACTGAAGTGCAAGTGCATCCATCCTCAAAGCTGGTGTGTAAACATCTCCCGGCAGAGGAAGAATTGCCTTTTTTCCAAGCGGCTGCTTTCTCCCCTTGTTCCTGTTAAAGAAGAGATTATAAGAAACCTGGGTGAGATGTCTGGGTTTTGGAAGCTTTTTGGGGTTGTTTTGATTTTTTGGGTTCCTGGGGAGATGGAGGCCACAGGAGGGGTGGTGCCTCCCTTGACCATCCGACAGCCAAGAGAAACCACAGTCCCGTTGAGCTCAATGGGAAATAACAGTCTTCTCAGAAGCTCATATTTGTTCACATAACTTTCTCTGAACATTATTCTTCTGCCTCTGCTGAATGAGGAAACTTTGGTCATGAAGAATAGTAGAGAGAAATTACGATTAATCTCATAAAAGAGAAATTATTCAAATGCAGCCTTCACCCGTGACGCCAGTGAGCTCAAAGTAGAGGGGAAATTTAAAACATTTATGTTACTCCGTTTCCGAGATCGTAAAACACAAGCAAACGGTCTGGCACTGGATGCTAAATTTCTTAAGGAACTTGCTTTAATTAATTAAACTAGTAAACCAATTAATGGATTTACTTGTAAATTCTTAGAAAATTAATTCTGTGCCCAAAGAGTGTTGTAAATCTGCGAAGGAGGCAGTGTGTATTTCATACAGAGCTTGAATTCCCATTTTAAATGAATCCAGTTGAGCGCTGACTTGGGAAGCACAAGCGATGCATTCATAATACTCGGACCTTCCTCCGAAACCGGCGCTTCCCAGCAGCCGAGCCCGGGATTTGCAAAACAGCGACTGTGCTGCTTTGGCAGCGCCCCGCCCGCGTACCGGCTCCCCC